CAGTCAGTCAGATCTGCAGCAACCCTCGCTCTGTTCAAAACACTCTTGAAAACACATCTCTTTCAAGATGCTTACTCTCTTTGATCAGTAGCAAATTCCCTTACAGTTTCTATCAGCCTGTTTTTGTGTCAAAGCGCCACTGAGCAGCATTGGTTGGACATTAGGTGCTATGTAAGTGTATTAATATTACAAACATTTGATTCATTATTATTATTATCGAACAAACATGTTTCATCAACCCCATCATTAGTATATATTAGGTTTTGTTTGTTTGTTGTTTAACGCCGCACTCTGCAATATTCCAGCTATATCACGGCGGTCTGTAAATAACCGAGTCTGGACCAGTCAATCCAGTGATCAACATCATGAGCGTTGTTCTACGCAATTGGGATACGATGACGCGTGTCAACCATGTCAGTGAGCCTGAACCCAACTGATCAAGGAACAGATGTTGTAAACATTTTTGTGTGACCAAGCCAGCGAACCTGGCCAGCCGATCCCGTTTGTCGCTTCTTTTGACAAGCATGGGTTGCATTGAAGACCTATTCAGGATCTTCACGGGTGTGTTAGGTATAGATTCTAAACGCTAACATAATGTTTTGGATAGGCGAGCAAACGTCATTGAACTACCTGTAATTTATTTATTCTTGTGAATACCCACAAGAAACGTGTCTTTACAGGAATATATTCATATACTCAGGAGTTAACGGTGGTAAGTTGGTTAACCAAAAAACATATAATCATTCTATACAACAGAGATCATGAAACATTTGTCGCTTTTCCTCGCCGGTGTTTTCCTTTCACTCCCAATCAGCAGATGATCCAGTCTGGTTTGACGGGTTATGTTTGTGTAACAACTGACGGCCATCTTGACTTGTGACATGTGGCAGGTGGCCCTGAAAGTGAAGGTTACGTCCCTGTCTCAGGAAGATGGATTAGTACGGAATCAGCTGGATAACATATATGGACGTCAACGCCTATATTGCAATTACGTTTCTGTGTAGGATTAATACGGACAGACGCGGATTGTAGTTTTTCTAAAAAGGTAAACAAAAGGTCAGGGAATCTGTCTTTTCGATACTAGTGACTGACGACATGTCATTTCATCGTTCATCTGGATTAATATTTCCAGAATGAATCAATTTATTGTTTTATGAATCTTATACAACTCAGAAATATCAGTCAAAGGTGTTTTTTCACGTACCTGGTTGTGACAAGTAAGTATATTTCATATTTCAAAGTCTAGAATATGATAACACTTCCCACCGTAACACGTTGTTCGACGTCCCTCCTAACACCCAACACGTTGTTATATCCCTCCTAACACCCAACACGTTGTTCGACGTCCCTCCTAAAACCCAACATGTTGTTCGACGTCCCTCCTAAAACCCAACACGTTGTTCGACGTCCCTCCTATGGTTTTTCCGATGTTTTTTTTTTCAGGTATTAGACTAGCACACTACATACCCTTTCAACAATGACAAATGGCTGTCTATATCAAAGGTGGTCGTTTCTGTTTTATATGTTCAAAACTTTATTCGGTTGATGCCCTGGAAGTGTATTAGTGTCACACTCTCATCTATTTATCATCTACGTAGATGATACTTACATCTATGTAAAATATACTTTCATCTACGTAGATGATACTTACATCTATGTAAAATATACTTTCATCTACGTAGATGACATCTAGTCTGGTTTATGTGAAAATATACATCTATGTAAAATATACTTTCATCTACGAAGATGATACTTACATCTATGTAAAATATACTTTCATCTACGTAGATGATACTTACATCTATGTAAAATATACTTTCATCTACGAAGATGATACTTACATCTATGTAAAATATACTTTCATCTACGTAGATGATACTTACATCTATGTAAAATATACTTTCATCTACGAAGATGATACTTACATCTATGTAAAATATACTTTCATCTACGTAGATGATACTTACATCTATGTAAAATATACTTTCATCTACGTAGATGATACTTACATCTATGTAAAATATGCTTTGTAAAATATACTTTCATCTACGTAGATGATACTTACATCTATGTAAAATATACTTTCATCTACGTAGATGATACTTACATCTATGTAAAATATACTTTCATCTACGTAGATGATACTTACATCTATGTAAAATATACTTTCATCTACGTAGATGATACTTACATCTATGTAAAATATACTTTCATCTACGAAGATGACTACGAAGATGACTTACACATCTATGTAAAATATACTCATCATCTACGTAGATGATACTTACATCTATGTAAAATATACTTTCATCTACGTAGATGATACTTACATCTATGTAAAATATACTTTCATTTACGTAGATGATACTTACATCTATGTAAAATATACTTTCATCTACGTAGATGATACTTACATCTATGTAAAATATACTTTCATCTACGTAGATGATACTTACATCTATGTAAAATATACTTTCATCTACGAAGATGACACTTACATCTATGTAAAATATACTTTCATCTACGTAGATGATACTTACATCTATGTAAAATATACTTTCATCTACGTAGATGATACTTACATCTATGTAAAATATACTTTCATCTACGTAGATGATACTTACATCTATGTAAAATATACTTTCATCTACGTAGATGATGGTGGTATCTAGATACATCTATGTAAAATATACTTTCATCTACGTAGATGCATATACGAAGATGACACTTACATCTATGTAAAATATACTTTCATCTACGTAGATGACACTTACATCTATGTAAAATATACTTTCATCTACGAAGATGACACTTACATCTATGTAAAGTATACTTTCATCTACGAAGATAACACTTACATATACTTAGATAACACTTACATCTATGAATACGATACTTTCATCTCAATACATGATATCATAATCGTGCTTGTCGATACAGAAGAGGTCTTGAATGGCATAGTAATCTTTCTCTAGTAACACAAACTCCATGCCTTTGTTGGTAACTGGGTAAAAGTTACACACATATTTATGAATCTTGTAGCAAGCAGAGCAACGTTACAAATAGGCGGTTGCGTTACACTGTGGACATTTCGTATTATAATTTCCGCCATTGTTATCACCACTTACGTCACAATTCATACGTAAACACGGATCACGTGATACACAACATCTGCAATACTGCCATACGGTGAAACGTAAGCCACCTCCCATTTTTACGACAATAAGGACAACAAAAAATAGGTCATGCGTTTTGTTAAATTTTTATTTTTTTATGAAAATAATCCTTGTCATCTCTTTATTGACATTGTCAATGACAAGGGCAACAAGGTTATGAAACACAACGTTTCAGTCAGACTGTATTCTTAACATATGGCCGATGGTACACGCCCCGCTACAGGGCCAAGGAGCTGAATAAATCACGAATTCCAATTCATAAGCCTTGACGTTATCAGCATGGGGAGATGCTTGGCATTTCCATCACAAACTCTTCTCATTTCACAGTTTTAAAGAAAGTTACACATCAGTTGTTACATTCATCAAAGTCCATTGCCCCAAAATTAGAACAATATAAACCTTTAAAAAAACAACCGAAATTAATGTTTTAACACATACAGAGCATTTTAGTGTCATTATCAGATGTGTTTTGGAATTTAGTGTGTGAATTGGTTTCTTTTATTGTCTTACGTCTTTGGTTTATTTTATGTATAAAAATAGTGAAATCTTAATTTGTTTAGAAATCGTATCATGAGTTTTAGATACGTGTATTAAAAAGAATGTAACACAGACCATTGTATTGTTTTGTTTATCGATTGTCGTGCCACAGAGACCTGGATATAGTGGAGCCTGGGCCAGAAAAAAAACATTAATTGATATTTGGACACCGTCTCCCGCCACAGGGAAACGACTTAAGGCAATCAACAAGACCCCCGCCCCCCCCTACTTAACACAACCGAACACCCCTCAATCCCCGCCCCTACTACCCCCACAACCCCGCCCACCCGGGGTATTATTAACGGATGAGACTCATACATGATTGTGATGAATATGTTCATGTATATCTCTCTATCAGTTATGTGTGATGTGTAATATGATGCATGAGCACATTGTTCCCGATTTTCAGGCAGCACTTGCTTTCTTTCGAACTATTACACTCGATCATGAAAGGAAACTTATGAAGTAGAAAAAAAACAAAACATGACTGTCAAAGAAGTCTAAACACATGAAGCACAGAAAGCGTAAACTTAAAGGCCACCAAATGAAATGAGAATCAGCTGAATGAGTGAGCATGGTTTTACGCCGCTTTTAGCAATATTCCAGCAATATCGCGGTGGGGGACACCAGAAATGAGCTTCACACATTGTACTATGTTGGCGACCGAACCCGGGTCTTCGGCGTGACGAGCGAACACTTTAACCACTAGGCTACGGTCATTTAATCAATAAAAAATAAATTAAATCCTTAAGGTAGAAATATATTACACTGTAATTTCGTCTTTAGCTTTTTTTTTTGCGTGTAAAAATTATGTTTTCATTGTTTTTCACTTTTAAGCGTCCTGTGAACGCTTATCTGTGTTTTTAGCTAGTTTGGTTTGCAATTCATTTGATCAATATTCAATGGGTTTTTATATTTCACGTTAATTTCTGTAGTTTTTAAGCAATATTTCCGAGGATTTAATGTGGGACAGTGGAAAAACGTTTAGAATTAGGAAGACAATGGTGTTATACTGACTTCTGTGGAAGGAACCATTTTCATGTCCATTAAGGCCCACCATGACCTTTGGTGTCACTAAATGAAATCTAGGAGTAAGTTAAATGTATTGTCCAGCCCAAATATATTTCCCCTTGAACTTGGGTCTGGTTTAGTGTAGTAACAAGGTGCCATTGTGTCACAGAGCCTTGTTATTGCAAATATATTACATATGAGTCGATACAATGAGTGTTGTAGACCACACAAATTCACCGGGTGTAAATATATATATTCTGAAAAACCAACATGGCTTCACTGGATTCCTGCAGAACATCGCCCAGATGCCCTGGAGTAGATTTGGCGAGCTGGACATTGCCCTATACTCAGCGTCCGACCTGAGTCACAGTACATGTAGTGGTTCCGTGAGGATATGACGGGGTGGTAGCCGTCGATGAGGCCGGAGCAGCTAGGGTGACGTTGGTGGCAGGGGATGCATGTCCGGGGATCAGGGCACATCTGCTGGTACTGGATATAGTCGCCTGGAACAGAGGGTGGGAGGGTAGACTAATGCTTAGTCTCTGAATATGTATAATTTTGATAGTAGCAAACAAGCCCCATTTAAATTGAAAAGAAGCCCCAGGGAGACCAGAGATTCAGAATCTGGGGAAACTGGACTGCTTCATTTAGGGCTTTAGCATTGCAGGGAGGGCTAGGCATTAGGGAAAATAATGTGGTTCAGGGTGAGAATGGGAGTGAAGGCCGAGTATTGGCAGGAACTGAGCGGGTAAGCAAGCTGGAAAGCTTCTGAGAGGGTTATAGCCCGGGAAAGCCACATTTAATAAAAACAGAGTTGAAAATGGTGTGGCTTAACAGGCAATGGGCATCGGTTGAGTGATCGTGTGAATGTGGCTCTCCCGGCAATGCGCTGATAGCTAATCCATGTTACCGAAAATAATGTGAAATAATCATTATATGTAAAATCTAGAAATCTATTCATGCAAAAAACTAAAAGAATTTTTTTTAGAAGAAGAATGACAATTTATTGCTCGAACATATTTGAGCGGACTAGTTTGTGAGAGCGAGTGAGTGAACCGTTTAGCAGTAGAACCAATGGTGGTGGAATGATCGATTTAGTGAATGATCGGGCGAGCGGATTAGTTGGCGAGTACATGCGTGTAAGATTTGTATTAGTGAGAAAGCGTCAAAGTGAGTTAATGATATTCCACTATAGTGAGTGAGTGAGTGAGTTTGGTTTTACGCCGCTTTTAGCAATATCACGGCGGTATTCCACTAAAACAGTAGCATACAGTATATGAAATAACACCCGTCCGACCGCCCCAGATTTCTGACTGATGGTCTAAATTTACAGCGAGCCAGCCCGATGGTCTGGTAATTGTTCTAGATAACATGTTCCATACATCTGAGTAAAGATTGAGTTATTTCTTTGGATTTAAGACCCGTGAAGATTCGGGGTAGAATAGGTCTTCAGCAACCCATGCTTGCCACAAAGGGCGACTATGCTTGTCGTAAGAGGCGACTAACGGGATCGGGTGGTCAGGCTCGCTGACTTGGTTGACACATATCATCGGTTCCCAATTGCGCAGATCGACGCTCATGCTATTGATCACTGGTTTGTCTGGTCCAGACTCGATTATTTACAGACCGCCGCCATATAGCTGGGATATTGCTGAGTGCGGCGTAAAACTAAACTCACTCACTCACTGGACTGGTTAAATCCATTTTGGCTGGATTGCTTTTTTGTCTGGCTGGGTTTTTGGCTTATTTCATGCATTGCTAGTATATCTATATTAAGAAGAATTCCATCAACCAACATTACCATTTATGACTATTTACCGCTCAATAGTAAAATACATTGAGATTGATTTAAAAATATTCCTACAAAATGACTTACAAAATGGAAACTATTCTTACGAACACAGTGCATATTAACAACTATAAATACCTAAAATGTTTACCTAACGCGGGAAGAAAGATGTTTCTGAATATATATAATTTTCCTCTAAACGATAACGACCAGAGATAACCGGGAGAACAGCCCTTGGCAGTGAAATTGATATATCTGGAGGATTACTCCAACAAGACTTAGACCAACGCAATGAGATACTTCATTACCTGAGATCTACACATGCAGTGACGACGACGGACAGCAGTAATACATTAACATGTCAACGCTCCACAATAATCATTATATGTGCATACACTTGTGAGACACGAGTCTCGCTACAGACAGTGACAACATTCCATTGCTGTAACCGGCCATAATATTTATTGGTTTGTGAACGATATACGAACACAGGCCATCAGTCACAGTGACTGGGATTCGGGATTACAATAGCAACTCGTGGGGAAGTATCTGTGTATCTGTGTGAACCATGGGTCAGGCGACCTTGAGTGAGTGAGTGAGTGAGTGAGCAAGCGAGTGATTTAGTGAGTTTTTATATACATCAATTCAAACAATGGTGTAAAAACAACAAAAGGAAACCAGTTTTACACTAAATTCCACCACCCCCCCCAAAAAAAAGAAAAGAAAAGAAGAAAAAAAGGAAATAAAATAGAAAAAAATCCCACCCCACCCGCTGGCCACCACCTTTGTTATGGCTGATGTAATTTGCATAATGCCAGCAGTGTTACATTTACCAAAATGAACGATCTGAATGACCAGTTTATTCCTGGACCAGAATCACATCCGTTGCGTGACGTCATCACAATTGTTTAAATAACGACAGTATACACTGATACAATGTCTAATTAGAACGTCTGTAGATATATGGGACATGGTCACTAACCCACAGAACAGAGACGTCTCAGTAGACAGGTCAGTTCTCCATATAGAGCAGTTAATCTTTGGCAAATCTTTATGACGTCATCTGACAGGCCACATTATTACCCTGTCTGAGACGGTCATGTGACGTAACACTTACATCAGATTGGAGGTCCCACATCCGACAGCCTCCTTAGATGTAACCATGGTCATTCGAGATAACTAAACTGCCCGGCAAAGAAACCATATTCCCACATTTCACGTTTGAAGTGAGTGCCCAACAGCCTATATATTTACCTGGAGCTAAAGGGCTTTCACTGGACTATAATGAAACATATACTGAGGGAAACAAATAAAGGAACACAGGAAAATACAAGCGTTCCTTAAATATTTCCCAGTTTGCATCACCAGCCTTGAATAGCGCTGTGGGAGGAAATCTGAGAATAAATAAAGGACGTGGTGTTCCCTTAATTGTTTCCCTCAGTATATATTTCAGATGTTGAAATCCTTACCATATGAGATGAATTATAATGAATGCTTGAATCTAAAGGTTGTCATCGAGCGAACAAAATATAAACGGTTGGAGTGTGGGCTATGTGTACCCAAAACACAGGGCACTTTACAGTGTTTAGCTAACAAGATTGTTTGTTTTGCAAGATACCTTTAATGAAATTGTTGCGCTCCATTGTGAAGATTTTAGGTCGTTTTGTGACAATCATGCAGAGAATAATTTTCGAGTGTGACATTAGACTTTTAGTTTATGTAGGGTTCAAAGCTAAGGCAATAGGGCTCCGTACAGCGAAAACAACTCAAGCGCTGTGCAGAATAATTCTGAATTGGCCACTTTTTGTATATACATGTATATTAGAGACATATTACAAACAGGGATAATCTACAGCATCCCCTATTCTACCTGTTACAAAGAACGATGAAAAACACAAATTACTCAATTTCTCATTTTTAGATCCGAGTTATCGGATTTTATTTAAAACAGTGCTCAACAACATCAGACCTGGGCCTCGTTCCTGAAAGCGACTGTAACCCTAAGACGATCGTATCTCCCATACTTTAACATAGACTTACGACAGTCGTAGCGCTACGATCGCGTTGAGGAACGGGGCCCTGGTAGCACTTTAGGTCTTTCAGTATCATAGTATGACTCGATGACTACTTTTTAGAATACAAATGCCATCGACTTAAACAGAATGGACACGTGATGTCTCGCGTTTCATTGCAGGATTCAGGAACCCACTATGTTCTGACTACTACTTACTACAACAGTGATTGGTTACGTTTACGTTAACTACAGTCCAATGTCTGTACATTGAATTGTTCTACCAGAGCCACCACGATTTTCATTCACCTGAAAATGTTGATACTTTTAAACAGATACAATTCTTATACGGTTTTCCAGTTTTAATGTGACCATTTTACTTATTTAAACACCATAACGTTTGTTACCGAAACGCCTACCCCTAACAATTATATTTAATGTCACATATCCAGGTACAACGTCACGATTTCAACAAGCAAGTATTTTTTAAAAAAAACTTCAAAGTATTAGAGGTCCTCTATTTAGAAGTCATCAAATGTGTTCATCATGGGTTCCTCCATCACATGTGAATGGCGTAAATGTATATTAGGTTTTCAGGAGAGACGATATTTGTAATATTTCTAGTCTATTTCATCATGTTTTGTGAGTGAATGAGTGAGTGAGTTTAGTTTTACGCCGCACTCAGCAATATTCCGGCTATATGGCGGCGGCCTGTAAATAATCGAGTCTGGATCAGACAATCCAGTGATCAATAACATGAGCATCGATCTGCGCAATTGGGAACCGATGACATGTGTCAACCAAGTCAGCGAGCCTGACCACCCGATTCCGTTAGTCGCCTCTTACGACAAGCATGGGTTACTGAAGATCAATATTCTAACCCGGATATTCACGGGTATCATTGTTTTGTAAAATAGTTTCATTTCAAAGACTAGACGTTTGTCGAGGTGAAAATCAGGAAGTGCTTCGACCAATGAGTGCTCAGTTTCCATCTCACAACCGGCAGTACGTCATGTGGTACAGCCATACGCTCACCTATTGTACCCAATACTCCACTATCTGCAGCACAGGGTTTGCAACCACCAAACAACAATCATGCTTGACGGATTACTTCGTGAGTTATAACGATGTGGATTTATTATTTGACTAAACACAGACACGCGTGACTACTACAGCGCATACCGGCCTCTGTGTCTACCGTTGATTTAGGACCGTAGTGTATGACAGACTCGCGAGTATATCACCATAAGGAAATGTCGACTATACAAGGAAGGGTGAATAGATGACAAAGAAACGTCTATCAACTTATGCCTATTTATTCCCTTTTTTTGCATGCGACATGATATGCATACAGTGTGCGAAATAGATTCCAAAGTTTGCTAGCCAGTCGGGCTAGCTATGTTTGAAAGTTACTAGTCCACAAAATAATTTACTAGCCCGAGATTTGAATGAAGGCACGGATTATCATTAAGCTGCTAATATGATGAAAATTTGTATCAGGCCATAACCTTGCATGGAAATGTGTTATAACTTGACAAGTCAGAGAGAGTGATATATTTACAAAATGACCTCATGATACTTCACTAGCCAGTCGGGCCAGCGACTATGGAGATGTACTGGCCTGCCTGGATTTTACTAGCCACGGGCTAGCGGGTCAGTGGCTATTTCGCGCACTGTATCCATGTCCATGATGCATATATGCT